ATTTGTTAAGGCATTGCTTGATCACCATCGGCTTCTTCGCATTTATCTCCAAGAAAAACATATTTTAAATGGGGATGTAATACCTTTAATTCCAGTTTCTGACTCTCAGTTTCATGTTCTTGCTGCAATATTTCAAATTGTTGTTCTTTTGCAGTAACTTCTTTTGCTGAATCAAGAAGTTTTACATAATTCTCAATTTATTTTTCCTCCTCTTCATCAAATTCATCATTAATTCCTGTCAAAGCTTTTTCTAATGGGTTTACTTTAACTAGTTGCTTTCTTGTTGCTTGAAATATATCATCTACCACATCTATTTTAAGACAATGTTGATTATCTGTAGGATGCTTCATTGCTTCAAACACATTAAACTTAACTTCCTCATCCTCTACTCTGACTTTTAACTTGTCATCATCAACATCAATAATAACTTTTACTGTCTTCATGAAAGGTCTTCCCAGTATAAGCGGAACTTCAGTGTCTTCCTCCATATCCATCACAACAAAATCAACTAGAAATATAAATTTATCAACTCTGACCAAAACGTCTTCCACCACACCATACGAAAATTTTAGAGATCTGTCAGCTAGCTGTAATGTCATTCTTGTAGGCTTTACTTCCAAGTCTCCTATTTTTTTAAGCATAGACAAAGGCATCAGATTTATACTAGCACCCAAATCAAGTAATGTCTTACCTACTTGCAATGTCCCAATTGTGACTGGAATAGTGAAACTACCAGGATCCTTGGACTTTTGAGGTAAAGATTTCTGAATTATAGTGCTACATCCTGCTTCTAGCTCCACTGTTTCTGTAGTAAATCTCCTTTTCTTAGTTAACAACTCTTTCATGAACCTTGCATAAGTCGGCATATGCTCCATAACTTCCATAAGTGGAATATTAATCTGTAAATGCTTGAAAATATCCATGAATCTTGAAAACTGTCTTTCTTTATCTTTTTTGGAAGGATGACAAGGATATGGTAAATCCTTTAATTGCGGTATTTGACTCTCATCTTTCTCCCTCTTTTTCTCCCTCTTTTTATTTTTCTCTTCTTTTTCAGTATTTTTTTCTTTTTCTATACTCTCACTTTTATTTTTCTCTTTTTCTCTTTCACACTCATCTTATTTTTCTTTTAGGATTTCCTTTTCTACATCCAGATTGTCACCAATACCTTCTCCTATAACCTTACCACTCCTTGTAGTTATTGACTTACACTGCTCCTTTGGATTGGTTTGTGTGTTAGTTGAAAACCGTCCTCCTTGTTGCTGCTCAGATAATTGCTTAGTCAGTTGACCTATCTGGGTCTCTATATTTCTGAATGAAGCCTCAGTATTTTTCTGATTATCTATAGTGCCTTGTATGATTTTTTCTAAAGTATCCTCCAATTTACTTACTTTGTCAAGCACTGAAGGATAATGTTGTTGCTGCTGTTGATATGGAGGTTGCTGATATGACTGTTGTTGAAATGCAGGTTGTCTAGTATATGAGCTAACACCTTGTTTCCACCCAAAATTATGATTCTGATTCCCTCTCCATCCTTGTGCAACATTATTCTGATAATTGTTGGGATTAGGGAAATTACCTTGCCTGCCTTGACTACTACCTTGAGCACCCATATAATTAACTTCTTCTTGTTGAATGTTACCTCGATAAGAACATTGTTCATTTGCATAATCGCCTCCACACACATCACAACTCATCTGTTGATTAAGAATAGATTGTATTGTGCGCATTTGTTGAGGTAATTTCTCTATTTTCTGGTTTAATGCTTCAATTTGTTATATTATAAGTTTATTTTGGGCTAAGATAGCATTTAAGCTGTTAAGTTCAAGAACTCCCTTCTTTTGAATTGGATGTCTATCATGTTGGGCCTGTTGGTCTGTAAAGGCTAGTGCATCAATAATTCTGATGGCATGATCAATTTCTACATCCAACATGGATCCTCCTGCTGCAGCCTCTAATAGCATCTTTGCATCATGTCGCAAGCCAGTATAAAAAATATTCAACTGAGAAACGTCATCAAATCCATGATTTGGGCAACTTCTCAACAGTGATTTAAATTTCTCTCATGCTTCACAAAATTTTTCATCTGCTCCTTGTCTGAAAGAAGTGATGTCAGATTTTGCTTTGATGTAGCGCGATGGTGGGAAAAATCTATTCAGAAACTTCTCTTCTACACTACTCCAATTAGTCAAACTCTGATTAGGATGTGCTTTCAGCCACTCTTTTGCCCTACCTGCCAAAGAAAAAGGAAATAATATCAAATATGCAGATTCAAGATTTGCTGCTCTAAATCTCATGGTACCAATCAACTCATAAAAAGTAAACAAATGAATATAAGGGTCTTCATGATCCAATTCAGTGAACTGATGAGCACTAATCAAGTTTAAGAAAGTTGGATTCATCTGCAATGTATGATCATCCGGAACGACAATGCTGGAAAAATGTCTTGGACCTTGCTGCATAACACAATTTCTAAGACTTCTTCTAGGTGGATTTGCATTTGGGTTTTGATTTAGATTTATATTGGGATCTGAATTTGGATTCAGATTTGCTCCTTCTTCCTCCATATCTTCTATAATTGGGTCTGGTAAATCAAGTGTGAAAGAAGAATTAACAGATTCTATTGTAGTTTGTTCTTGAGTTTCCCTTCTTCTAAAGATACATGTCTTCTTAAACGCATAAATCAAAAGAGTAACTCAAGCAAATATTAGTACAAATTAAAAACTAAATAATAATAATAATAATAATAATGAAAATAATAATAATAATAATGATAATAATAATAATAATAATAATAATAATAATAATAATGATAATAATAATAATAATAATAATGATAATAATGATAATAATAATGATAATAATAATAATAATAATAATAATAATGATAATGATAATAATGATACTGATAATAATAATAATAAATAAATAAAAACAGAAATAAAAATAAAATACTCAATAAGCTAAACAAAGAATTCTCAATGAACACCGTGCCCTAAGAATCGGTGCTGTAAATACTTGTTGAATTATTGCCAAGCGTACCAAAATTATCAATCGCAGTATAGTATTTCGATTAAATAAAAGTCGATCCCACGAGAAACGGTTTCAATGGAAATTCTCAATTATGCTTACTAAGTAGATTAAAACAGATTGGGTTTTGCAAATAAGAGTTGAATTGAAATTAAATGACAAAGAACTGTAAATTCTTGAGAAAATATCAATTAAAGGTACTTAGGATTGACTTCCTTCCTTATCCCTCTTTTGTGATGGTTATGTCAATTAAGAACGTCAATTAACCTAACAATGTTGATGTCACCTACTCAAATCATCCATGTTGATTCCTCACACATGAAATTCATAAGAAAACCTAATAAATGTTGATTCCTCACACAATTAACAGATTTTTCAGCATTAGGGTTAGGGTGTTTAAGCAATTGATACATTCATTCCATTCCTGACAATTAACGTAAGAAATATTCTTACCGTGATTTAGGGTTCAAGATATATTTTCCAATCATACCTCAAACAATCAAGAATAAATCATTCCAAAACATAAAGGATAAGAATAACAACATCAAAGCATAGATTAATATCTCAAAATATCACCATAATACAAAAGAGTTCAAAGGAAGTGCACTGAATTCTAAGAGAATGAAGTTAGTCACTCATGTTGGTCATTACAATGCTCCAATTGATGAAGAAGTGAAGAATTGATGAAGATTAGACAAAACCCTAACAGTAGTCGTGTCTCCTCCCCTCCAGACTGTTTGTTTTTCTCAAAACATAACTTATCTTTTTTATAAGAGAATTTGGGTCGGGTCTCGCATCATTCATTCGCTTAAGTGTTTTTCTTTCTTTCAATTTTACTTCAATTATGCTGACAATTATGCTCCTTACTCTTGTATCAAGGTATTCTCGAATTCATCCCATATTAGGAGAAAAATATATTAGAATTAACATAAGTTAAGTGGTTTCATAACAATTCAAGGCATAATTATATCAACTTTTTACCACTTAACAATTTCTCGTTTTAGGGAGAATTGATCATAGGCGTTAAGTTAGTCAATCACTTCTCGCTCGAATGAAATCTATCGCTTAAGCGAGAATTGACCCATTACCCATTAGTTTCATGTCTCCTCGCTCAAGCGATAGATTTCTCACTTGAGCGAGAGAAATAATGGATCATAATTTTAAATATTCGAATATTTTAAAATTATGATCAATTAATTTAAATTATAATCGATTATAAGTTTCCTCGCTCAAGCGATGGATTTCTCGCTTGAGCGAGAATTGACCACAAGTGTTAACTTAGTCAATCACTTCTCGCTCGAGCGAAATTATTCATCGTTTGAACAAGAATTGACCACAGGCTAAAGGTCCAATACAGTTAGTCACATAATGCAACTTGGGTCACCACATATTTCAATTAGTTCTCGTTCGAGCAAAATTACTCATCGCTTGAGCGAAAAAAATACTCGAGATTACCTATTAGTTTTAGGTCTCCTCGCTCAAACGAAGGGTTTATCGCTTAAGTGAGAGAACTTCTCGCTCGAATAAGAATTATATCGCTTGAGCGAAATTAAATCTCATAAAGCCTTTAAATTCCAAGTCTCCTCGATCAAGCGATGCATTTCTTATTTGAGCTAGGATAAACAATACAAAATGCTAGTTGCAGGAGTAATGTTCCATGTATACTATTTTAAAAAATATTTTTTAAAAGTATTATTTATATAAAAAAAAAGTCGAGAATTTGAGTGGGCCATGAGCGAATTCTCGCCTTGAGACAAAACATTGTTATGCGTGTAAATAAAAAACACAATATGTTGTATGCGAAATTAAAAAGGCAAACAGGAGCAAGAGGATAATAATAATGTTATTTATTCATATCATTAAAAAGGTATTATTCTCTTCTACACTTTTTAAAACTTGAAGGAGTGACCAATATAGAGAAAATATTGAATTGCTGTATCATTGAATCAACAATTATTCAATTTCTCACACTACAAAAGCTCTCCAAATGTTTTGGATGACTGGGTGTAAGCAGAAAATTTGTTTTCATCATGCTTGTTTAACCGAAGCTGCAACAACGCTTCCACGAGCTGATCAACTTGCATTGAAGAATCCCCCCCTTCACTCACAGCCCTAACACCTTCCTCTCTCATCAACTTAGCTCTTCGCTTCTCCGGACTCTCCCCATACATAACCCTCTTCACAACCCGACCCAATTCATCTGGGTTGGGCACAGAATTTGCCCCCTCACACACCCACGCCGCCACCCCTCTCTCCTCCACCAACAGCCTCGCGTTCAAAAACTGATCCGCCTCCATCGGCCACGCCAAGATCGCAACCCCACTCACCATCGCCTCCGTCACCGAGTTCCACCCGCAGTGACTCACAAACCCCCCAACAACCCGGTGACTCAGTATCGCCACCTGTGGAGCCCAACCCGTAACCACCAATCCCCGGCCAGAAACCCGACCGACAAACCCATCAGGAACCAATCCGTACCCTTCCTCCATTTGTTCCTTGGTGGATGGCGTCTTCACAACCCAAACGAATCGGGTTTGGGATCTTTCCAACCCCAACGCCAACGATTCCATTTGTTTCTTGTTTAACAACTTCTGACTCCCGAAACACACATACAACACCGAACCTTCTTCCTCGAACGCATCGAGCCAAGTTAGAACCTCGGATCCCCTGCCTGGGTTTTCGAGCCGGTTAGAGCTCAATGGCCCGACCGCGAAGACCCGCGCGTGACCCAACTCGGCCCGGATATGGTCCAAATAAGGACCCTCCAGCGCGGAGAACGTGTTAAAGACGCAGGCCCAAGCAGCGTGGTTGGAAAGAAAACTCTCTTTAACGAACTCCGCGTCGGGGTCTGATTCCCTGTAGCGGAGGAACACTGAAGGAAGGTGGTCCCGCTTAAACGACGGCGATCCGGGGATTCCGTGGAAGTGAATTTTACTATTACTGGCGAGTCCGTTTGAGTTGTGCCAGCAGCGCGTGAAGATAGTGCTGAAGAAGGCGCCCGAGGGGTAAAAGGCGACCCTGGGGATGGTCAGTTGGGAGGCGAGTTGGTGAGTCCAGCCGAGGAAGAAATCGAAGAGGAGGGCCGCAGGGGGGTTAGGGTGGGTGGTGAACCAGTGGATGATTTGGGGTTGGAGTTTGGAGAGGGCGTTGATGAAAGGGTAGTTTCCGGTGTTTCCGACGTCACGGATGTTTTCTGCGGCCGCGGGGATTTTTGGGTGTGGAGGGAATGGAAGGACGAGGGTTTGTATGGTGTTCGGATGGGAGGATAAGAGAGGGTTGAGAATGCGGAGGTTTTTGGGAGTGATGACGATGGTGATTGTTATATCTGCTAGGGCTAGGCGGTGTGTGAGATCGAGAAGGGGAAGAAGGTGACCCTGCGCTGGGTATGGGAACACCAGGATGTGAAGTTTGGCCATGGTGTTAGATTGAAAATGGAACAACTTCGAATGCAGAACATCAGAGAAAAAGGGTTACTCCGACAAGTTTTTTCACTCTATTTATTTCCGTCGATACTATTCACTAGTTGATGTTGATGTTGACGCTGACGTAATTATGAACCATAAATAAAGGAATTTTTTTTAGAGAAACTCTTATCCTACACTTAATTATATTAATATAAAATAAAATTAATATTATTATATTTAATATCATCATAATATATATGTAAAATTAAATACATCTTAATTATATTTAATAATATTTTATATTATAAAAATTATTAATTTTTATATAATTTTTATTATCGTTGGTTAATAATATTTGTAATTTTATTTATTAAATTTAAATTTTGTAAATTAAAATTTATGTTATCGTATATTTGTTTTTTCTCTTAAAAAAATAAGTTTATATTTTTTAAATATCTCTAAAAATCAATTTAAAAAAAATTACACATTTTAATGTAAAAATAACATCATAAAACATTAAAACAATTAATTAATAACATATAATATACATGTTAATATGTTATAATATTAAATAAAAATAATAATAAGTTACTTATTTTAAGAAAAATATAAAAACTAAAAAATACACATACAATTTTAAGGTAAAACTAGAAAAAAAAATATAAATGGATGAGTGATAGAGAAAAAAAGTGTTTGAAGGTAAAGTGAAAAAAGTGAAAATGTGAGGGAAAAAATGAAAAAGTGTTTGAAGGTAGAGTGAAAAAAGTGAAAATGTGAGGGAAAAAATGAAAAATAAAAGAATAAAAAAGAAAAAATGTTTTATAAAAAATTATATAAAAAATGATGACATTAATTATAATTATTGTTATTATTTTTATAAAAAATATAATAATTATTTTTTATATTTAAAAATATTTTTATTTAATTTTTAATAATTATATATGTAAAAAAAATGAACATTTTAGGGGAGGTCACGGTCATTCCATATTTAATCAATGATTTTGGATTAAAGCTGTAAAATCATAATAATTTTTTATTAATGACATAAAATAGAAAATCTAAATAAGATTTTGAAATTAATGATTCGAGAAAAAAATTATATTTCTTCATAAATGCTTCTACAAACTCTTTGAGTATTTTTTTGTAAATTAATTAAATAAAATGCGAGAATAAGATTTTATAGTCTTGATTTTTTTTAATACATTCTCTTTTTTTATGAAAAAAAAAATATAGATAACATACCTTTAAGTTAAAAAATATTCTTTCTGAACGTGAATCACTTCTAAAATTGTTATCATCATAAACTAACTGTGTTTTACTCTTTTATCATTTAATCATTTATATATTATTTTTTTATTTAGTCGATTATATTTATTTATTTTCCTTATAAATATAAGATATAAAATTTATATTCTCTAACTTAATTATTGTGATATTGTTATAAATAATAAATAAAACAAACATAATACACATTAAATTATTAAATCATTCTTTAAATTGGTTACATCGTACTTTCATAATTAAGAATAAGAACTAATTTGAGTAATAGTAGTTATATGTTACTCAATTGACATAGTTTCTTCCACGTATAAAAACTTAGATTTTTTTTATGATATGAACATAATTAGGAACTCATAATTGGTCTAACATAATGTTTTTATTCAAGATGGTACTTTTTAAATTACTTTAATACAATTATGCATGTAATTATAGATAACAAGTAATAAAAAAATATCATAATTGAGTTCAAAGTGTCAATAGTTTAATATATAATAAACATAATATTCAACCATCATTTTTAACAATAATAATTATATTTTCAACATGTTCAATAAAGGTTTTAGACAGGTAATATCGTTTTAAAGGGTTCGTTATCATAAGATTTATATTAATATATTATATTGACATTCTTTATTTTTGAATTTCCTCTTTTATAACAGAGTACTTTACGTTCATAAACTTAGAATACTTGTTATTTTTAAATAAAAATACTAATGTAGAGTTATCACTATATTCAACAACATGATAATACTATCAAAATTTTCAAGTTTTGCATTAAAGTTACACAATTGTTGTCTCACTATAAATTCAACTCCCATTATAGATGCAATAATAAATATTGTTTTTCACTTTTCCATGATATTGTCCTCCAATTAAAAGAAATACATAGCTAATAATGGATTTCTTTATATTTATACATCTAACAAAATCGAGTCTAAATATTCAATCATCTCAAGATTATTAGGCATCATATATGTAAGCATGTGATCCTTTATTCCCTAGAAAATATCTTAGAACTTTCTTTGTAACTTTTCAATCACTACTACAAAATATATTTTCTACGTCGTCATTTAACGTCAGTTATAGCTGAGACGACGTAGAAAGTACTTTCCACATCGGTTCCCGGATGAACCGACATTGAAAGTTGAATATTTCATATGTTCCCATATGAACCGACGAGGAAAGTCTTTTTTTTTCACCCAAAAATTCACTTAAATTTAAACATTGTCACTGCGAGGATTCAAACTCGGGATTTTAGAATTGAAAACTATTACACTAACCACTAAACTATTATAATTTTCTAATAATAACTTTCAAATAAATTATATTTATATACAAATAAATATATATCTATGTAAATATATATTTATTTGTATATATGTTCTGGAAAATATTTTTATTTTTTTTCACCAAAAATTCACTTAAGTTAATGAATTGTCACTGACGACATTTGAACTCGAGTATTTTAGAGTTGAAAGTTAATATCTCAACCACTAAACTACTACAATTTTTTGATAATAACTTACAAATAAATTATATTGGTATTTTTCGATCGAGGGTGAAAGTGAGATTAACTCTTGCTTGAGTGAAAATATGTTAAAGCTCACGGAAATTCACTCACTCAAGCCTCGCTTGAGCGAAAATTTGTATTTTTTGCTTGAGAGCGAATGACGCGTTTCCCAAATTATTTTATATCATTATATAAATAAAATTATATAGATTATATTCTGTCATTAAATTACAAACTCATATAAAGATACATGCTCACAAATTTAGCATCAAATTTTGAAAACCCACTCGATACACATTTTCACTTTTGAGTGTGCCCTCACATCCAACATATAAATATATAATTATATAAATATATCAAAATATATAAATATATTTGTATTTATATATTTATATATTTACACGGATATATATTTATTTGTATATAAATATAATTTATTTGTAAGTTATTATCAAAAAATTCTAGTAGTTTAGTGGTTGGAGTATCAGTCTCCAACTCTAAGATACTAGGTTCGAATCTCGCTAATGACAATTCTCTTACAAAATTAATAAACTTGTAAAAAATATAATATAAAGAGATGGGAGACTTCTAGATAAATAAAGGGGTTATAAATAAATAAAAATTATTAATTTAAAAAATCATACTTTCAACGTCGGTTGTTGAAAGCTTTATTTGTAGTAGTGAATGATCCATTCCCAGATTACTTTGATATCTTCCTAACGTTCCAACTACAAAACTTGAGTACAAGTATGAGTATACATTATACTCCCAACAACATATACATACAAAATTGCTTCCAATTATTTTTCATTCTAAATCATTCTTAGGACATTAAGTGACACAAAATTTATCTCCTTTTTAAATTAGAACAAGTGATGTTAAACATTTTTCAATTTTGAACATCTCTAATACTTTATTTATATACACTTTCTAGGATAGGCATAACATTTCTTCTTATTTATTTCAAAATATTTTTATTCATGTCATATAACTTGTCTTACCCATATTTTTTATTTCAAATTTATTAAAGATAAACTTCTAATTCTCATGAAGAAGATTAAGATCATTATTTGCAAGAAAAATATCATTAACATACACAATTAAAAATGTAACCTTACCTTTACTGGCCTTTAGATATATACTGATCAACAGTATTGTTCTTAAATAATGGTATCGTAAACTTTAAATATCATTGGTGGGAAGCTTGCTTAAATTCATATATTGATTTCTTTTATTTGCAACCCATGTGTTCATTTCCTTCAACTAAAAATCTCATTCGTTGGTCCATATAAACATATAAACTTTCCTTTCCTCTAAATTTTCATTAAGAAAGATAGTTTTCACATATATCTTATGTAGTTCTAAGTCATAATGGGATATAATAATCATGATAATCTTAAGAGAATCTTTTCGTGAGACTAGTAAAAAGGTCTCTTATAATCATTGTCATCTTTTTGAGTAAAACTTGTAACTTTAAGATTGTCACCAGAGTCACGTTTAGTCTTAAATATCCAGTTACAACCAACCCTCTTGCAACTTTCTAATAATTTAACAAGGTACCAAACATCATTATCACTAAAAAAAATATATTATCTACAAAATATTACCTACGAGATAAAAATTCGTAGGTTAATTGTATATTACATATAGAAAGTTATCCACTACCTATCCGTAGGTAAGTAGGTAAATTATATCAAATTAAATTAAAGAATTGTGATCGACAAGATTCAAACTCAATACCTTAGAGTTGAAAACTAATACTCCAACCACTAAATTACTAAGATTTTTTTTATAATAACTAACAAATAAGTTAAATTTATTTATAAATAAATGTATATCCATGTAAATATATAAATATATCAAAATATATAAATATATTTGTATTTATATATTTTATATTTATATATTTATATTTATATTTATATATTTATATTTATATATTTATATATTTATATTTATATATTTATATATTTATATTTATATATTTATATATTTATATATTTATATATTTATATATTTATATATTTATATATTTATATATTTATATATTTATATATTTATATATTTATATATTTATATATTTATATATTTATATATTTATATATTTATATATTTATATATTTATATATTTATATATTTATATATTTATATATTTACATCTTTATATATTTATATATTTACATGGATAAATATAAATATAATTTATTTGTAAATTATTATC